CATAATTGTAAATGTTGTTAATTATCTAATAAAAAGCCCCTGGCCATAGAGGTCACCTTAACACTGAAAAAAAAAAAAAATTTGATATAAAAAACAATTTATCAATAAATATATACAGTATATATTAAATATCAGTTTTAGGTCAAAATTCTAAATAACAAATTATCGAAAGTCATAACACTGACTAAATTGGCCAGCATTATAGCTAGTGCCGGCTAACTTTGTCAGTATTATGTTCTTTTAAGAATCTATTTTTTGGGAAAATTCATCTTCTAAATCGCCACCAAATTTTTACTGGCACGTGATTATGTGTAATATACCGAAAATTCTTTAAAGTTCATTTAGATTAGGGTTAGAGCCTATTCTAGATTAGAGTTAAAAAAGCTTTAATATGCATCGTTTCTGGGCCCCTTCGGGGCCCAGAAGCTGACATATTAAATTTCACAGTCAGATAATGAAATTATTTTACAAATAATTTTCGTTATTGGCTGCTTCGCCTCCAATAACTATATAATATGCAGTAGATAAAGATAATCAAATGAATTGTTACCTAACTGCTACCGATAAAAATAAGACCTGTACGTATGTACGCACAATAATTATTGGCGGTGCAATAATATTTTAATAATTAAAATCAGGCCTACCGAATAATTGATTGTGGGGGGAGGTAATGAAAGGCCCAGCAAGTAGGGGGAATTGTCCGTACACGTGATAATCAATGCATTTCTTATTGTTTATTAAATTTGCGACAAGCTTTGAGATTTTAATGAAAGAATTACCGCTATACAGTAAAATTTCGTAAGAAAAATTTTTTGTTAGAGCGTAAAAGTCTGTTTGTTATGTAAATTTTTGTGTTGTGAACGATTTTAAAAACGGACAGTTTTTTTTACGTTATTCCTGATCGTGTTACATTATATTGATCATAATTAAGTCATTGGTCAATTATCACATGTGCGGATAAGCTCTCCTACACCCTGATACTGTTGGAGGTAATTAATTGCAATTCTTAAACTCAATTAATTGATTGGTGGCGGTCACAATGAGTCAATTAATTGCAATTTTTTACGTAATTAGCTTATGTATCATATATTCGCCGTCAGATTGTAAATACATGTGGTTTTTTAATTTTCGCTATTTAAAAAATCGGTTCACATTTAAGTATTATATGCAGCGCTCTATGTGGTATAGTGAAAGAAATTGAAATTAATTGTTCAATAATTGGGTTTCAATTAAATTCATGATGATTTTAATTGATTTTAATTGTATGACATAATAACAAAATTAATTGCAATTAATAAAACCATATAGAAATCTGTTACGTATAAAGAACCATAAGATATATATTTGCAAGCATGATTATTAATGGCAGTTTGTGAAACTACGCGACGCTGCTATTCATAGTGGATTTCAATTTTTGATTCCTTAAAAATCACATCGGTATAACTATCATGAATAACTTTTAGAGGAATCGAATTTATTATAATGTTTAAATAAATGACAGGGATATCATCACCATAAATAATTCAGGAAGTTTTTACAGCTTTTATCTTTGAATTTTTTACACTATTATGATAATCCCGTGATCTTGACATAGTGATCGGGATGGTCTAATTATTATATTATTATTATTATTATTGTTCCTTTTTTTTTTTTTTTTTTTTAAAAAAAAAAAAATTTGTTATTAAAATTTTAATTTATCATCTAATAGTATCTAGATGTGAATTTAAAAATCACCAACATTAAAGACAAAGTAAATAATATTTGACATGCATACAGAGTGTATTTCAACAGCTCTCAGAAAACTTAAAAGTAACCACCTTTTCTAAAATTTCCTGATCGTTGATTATGTAGGTGATCGCCATCACGAGGCGAAGCTAAATTTCCTGACCGTTGATTATATAGGTGATCGCCATCACGAGGCGAAGCTAAGTTTCCTGACCGTTGATTATATAGGTGGTCGCCATCACGAGGCGAAGCTAAGTTTCCTGACCGTTGATTATATAAAGGATCGCCATCACGAGGCGAAGCTAAAAAATTATTATTATAAGGATTTGGACTGGTACTCCTTGCTCTATTGGAGTTTGAATAAGATCTATCAGCACCTGCTCTTTGGTAGGCAGGTGGTTTGAGAGTATTATTGCTCTTATCATTGACCACATTTAAATTAAAATTGTTCGGTAAAGAAGATGGGAATTTTCTTTGATCATTACGGTTAGCAAAACTATCTGAAGAAGTATTGACACGATTTGTGTCAATTACAATTGGTAGCCCTAATTGCCTGCCCCTCTTAATATTATCATCCGAATTGGATTTATCATTAGAATCATATAACCAATCAGGGATATCACCATATTTTTGCTGATGGTATTCACGTAATATACGGGAAATGTGGGTTTCACCTTCCCAACCTTCTGCTTCAGATTCTAGTATTATAAATATATAGATCAAACTTTGCATAATGAAAAATTAATAAAATTAATAAAATTATAAATATAAATTTGAGACTCATACCATATTCGGAATCATCATCATGATTAGAATTATAAGAAGCAGCAGCATTCAATAATTTATCCCATAGTTTAGAACCTTGTGTAGGTTGTGACATAGTAGGAGTGACAGAAGCATCTAAAAAATATATTATAATAAATTAGCAAATTTTCTAAGAAGAAACACAAGAAAATTTTTTTGAAAGAATAAATTCACCTTCAGATACGTTTTTCCAGTTATTTACAGATCTAAGTTTACCCCACAACCCAGAAGCATTAGTATCATTATTATTTTTATTTTTAGTGGAAAGGTGTTGTTTTGGAATAGGAGGAATTGGGATGGAATCGGAATCGGGCAACTCACATTTGTGACGAGCAGGATAGAGACCAACGTCATGACCACAATCTTTACAAAGGACTACAATTCGAGAAACTCGATAGTCTATGACTTCAGCCATTTTTGAGTTGGGTATTAAAGGAGAGTAAAAAAAGTATGAGATTAAAAGGAAAGTTTTTGAAAAGAAAGGATTAAGTCAGAATTTTAAATGAAAGCAAAAAAAAAGAGACATTAACAACATATATGTATCATGAAACAGAGCGAAGTATATCGATATCGACATGCATAGCATTTAAAGTATGTGACCAGTTAAATTCACATGTTTATTTTTAGATCTACTGTGGTAACAGTAACGAGCAATGTTAATTATTTCATAAGTTACGTATTAGTTAAACCAAATTCCGTTTAACGAAGTACTAATTAAATATACATAATGATAGTGATAGTGGGTAACGATAACGTTAATTTTACCCGGATAAAACGCATTGCCATATATAATCAATTATATATTATTCTAATTTGCATATATGCCATATGGACAAAATTTTCTATAATTGATACACATTTGTACTCTTGTGGAACAAAACAACATAAATGCTGATACGTATTTAAACAAAAAAAAAAAAAAAAATCAGGGATATTTCTTTATTCTTATATGTATTACAACAAAAATAGTTAAAACAATACATACGTATATATGTATAAATTTAAATATGTATATCTAATTTGATATGGTGCTTAATTAAATGTTCTTTCTAAATACAGACTATCAATGAACATAAACAGGTAACATACTAGCATTATATATATTAACGATAATATTATTAATTATACAGAATGAATTTAAAAATACAAAAAATTTAAATTGTAAGAATTAAGAAGTAATGCTGGACTAAGTCGGTTCTCAAAAATCATCAATTTCGGTTTTTTCGTCTTTACATCTTGTTATATAAAATATTCGAACCTATTTGGAGAAATGTCAATAAATAAAACTTTTCCTTATACAATTTTTTTTAACTTGGCGCTAATTAGGATAGTAAATAACAGTTTTAAACATTTTTCACCGATTTAAAACAGGTGATTATTAAAGTCTGAATAGTTAAATCTGTGATTTAAACATATTTAAGACCATAAGCATCACCTGTTTTTAATTACATAATAAAAAGCTTCTGCCATCCTTAGCGCGCTAATGCTTATATTCACATATTTCATAAATATATGTATAAATATTTTAAATTTAAAAATATTCATATTCATAATTATATACTATAAATCCTTACAATAATTATTATAATATATTATTATAATATATTATTATAATATATAATAATATATACCTACTAAAAGATATTCGCCTTATTTTATCACCGGGGTAAAATAAAGTTATGACTCTTAATAATACTACTACAATTTTCACCAAATTTTCATAGTAGTTATTAAAAAACTTCATGACTTTATCTTTGATAATTAAAGGTAGACGAATACTCTTTAACAGAGAATGTAGTGTGTCGCACTGATTAAAAGACCCGAGGATATTAGTGTGGTGAAAAAACAGCTATATAAAATAATATCCGAGTATGTTTAATCAGTTCGTTACGCTATCTACATATACAGTAGGTCTTTAAAATATTTATCGTATGAAATTTACGTATGAATATACGAATATAAGCATTAAAGACAAAATTAATCTTCTTTTCAAATACCTCTCGGCATAACTTTAAGTGTAATATAACATGCCCAAATGTTAACACCGTGCTAACAATCGTAAATCCACCAGCCAAAATCCTGCCATAGTTAAAGTTCTCGATTGTTGCGATGATGCCACCACAACCACTTAAGAACCAACCTGTGCATAGGAATAGCCCAAATATAACATCTATTAGTGCGGTAAAAAAGAAGTAGTGGAATGCCTTTTTATTTTCGTTTCTAAAAAAAAATAAAAACTGTATTAGAGTTTTTTGTTACATAATAATGTAAATTGATTTTTTTTTAAAGACTTACTTGAATCCTTGGTACAAATTCATATGCCTAAAAACGAAATCTGCAATTGGCCATATCGCTAGATATATCGTAGCGATTATAATTTGAACAAAGCCTTCTGAAATACCATATTGTACGGCCGTCGCAATTATTGCACCAAGATTGAAAAGCAATATAATGTAATAAACTATACAGTATATTTTATATGTAAATGTAAGTTTTAGAATTAATTTAAAGGTATTTGAATAAATATATATAATTTAACACATACTTAAATATATTCTATAAGAACTTTCAATCATTTGGCGAGCTCTTTTCTCAATAATATCATTTTGAACATCATAACGAATAATCGAACAACATGGTGGCCTAGAATATAATTTACCGGTAGTCTTAATATATTATCACGTGTTCTATATGCACCAACAATTCATTTTTTCATTTACCAGTTATTTTCAGATTTTTCAGGCATTTTTTTTTCTAGTAACTAATTCGTGATATTTTTTTTTCAAGTGTTTTAATAAAATAAATGAAAAAAAAAAAAATTGAAATTCAACTCCTTTTCTCTTTCTATTTATCGAGTCTCCCAATTTTCACATTTTTAATTTTGTTTATCTGTTTCTTAATAAACGTCCGTGGTTGATTTGTAAACAATAGCGCATGTAAATACCGTACAACCATATTAAATGCAAGAACAAATAATTTAGTATTATCTATATGCAGTTAATGTCAGCTATCGTACATATGTATCAATAACCGAATGCATATAAATAGTATTTTTCTCCCGTTTCTCCCGTTTTGCATATTATATTTTCTCCTTGTTTAGGGAGAGCTACATAAGATAATTTAGGCAATACCTACTTTGTCGTCGACAATTATTTTTTCAATGCCATAAATCACCTGACATAATGTAAATTTAATATATACCGATACCATAGATTTAAGTTCATACGTACTGTCGTTACGTATTAGATACGTATTACTGTGTTATGATTTTACAAATTCATTTTAGATTGTAATCATGATTTACAAATTCATTTTAGATTATGTTTTTAGCTAACCATATTTTTATTATATGTATATATTTGCCTCGTAATTTTTCAATTTCATTATTTTACGCCATACTTACATGCGTATGTATAATTTTCTTTAGCTGAAAAGAAATGAAGTCTTGTTATTTATTTATTATTATTAATTTAAATAACTGCACAAATAATAGAATTTCTGAAATCTTAGCATTAATAACAAACAAAATTTACACGTTGATAAAAATTTCTATATTAAGTTTATAAAATACATTTAATTGTAATTGTTATCTATTTTTAATAATGCTTGGTATGTTTTAATTGTATAATAAATTGACCATCAGTGTTGTACGTAAAACGAGGTTTAACTTTATTTTACTTTACTATAAATTAAATATAATGATACACTTTACAAGCCTTTTTCTTAAAAAAAAAAATTTTTGAATTTTAAATAGCAAATCTATTATTTTATGCAAGTGTGTATGTAATAAAGTCTTATAATAAATTACAAACAAAATTTAAAAAACTAACGAGTATATAACAACATATTTTAACATACAGTATCAGGTATATGTTGTAAGTGGGAATGGATTCATAGATTAGAACGGAATAATTATACTAAAAATCTCAATCCTAACCTTAAAAATTCCGAATCAACTTAAATTCTATTTCTACTTACGATACGTAATAATAAAATTTAGAACACTATAAACCTAATTTTATTAGTTATTAAGTAATATTTACTATATACAGTAATTAGATTATAAAGTTCGTATAATACTGTATAAAACTATAAAAAATTAATGGTTTAATTTTTTGAATTTTTACAAGGTATAATCATTTTTATACTGTACACTATATATACAGTATGCATATTTACCTATATAGTATTTTATTCATACAGTATACAGTATATAGATGGTGGTGAAGTTACTCTTCTTAATAAAAGTTTTTGTTGAAATTGTTGAAATTATTTGATAGCGAAATCGGTAAAATTAGTTTTTTAATATTAAAAATTAATTTACATTATACTATATTAAAGATTAATTAAAACCAAGCTAAATTAAATAAAGCAATTATTTGATATTTAATTTATAGAAATATTAAAAATGTTTAGAGATTCTTTATTATTAAAATTAAAAAAAATTAAAAAATGAATTTCACCCCATTTATACACCTACTCAAAAAATAGCTAATTAACTGGTACTTGGTGTTCAAAGTAAAAAATGTTTACACGCTTCCCAAATCTTAAATCCAACCTAATACTGTATAAAAAAATTCAAGTTAAAAATTTTATATGCAAAACTTATAAAAATCAGAAAGTTTAAAAATAATAAAATCACAGTTTATAATAATTTATAGATGCAGTATTTAATTAAATCAAATAAAAAACTTTATTAAACTATATAATATAAAAGATGTTGTATATATAACTATACTGTATATTTAACTAAACTGTAAATAAAATTTTTCAGTATTAAAATAATCTCCGTCAAGAAAAATTATATTTATAAAAAAAAGTTAAAAACATAGTAAAATATAAATACCAAAAAAATATCTATATTGGTAAAACTTTATCTTACGTCCGTGCTACAGTTAATGATATCTGACAAAACTATTTTTGATTTGACGAAACCTTAACGAATGACGAAACTCCTAATGGTTGAAAATACTTATCTGAAATATTTCGTAACTTATCTCCAATTTTCTTTCGACCTTGCTCGTAATTTGCGGAAAATTTCTAAGTATGATCATAATTATTTTCTCGGGAAAAATCCAATAAAGTAATTCTTATACATACAATGTACTCCTTAAATATATATATCCCGGTACTTAAATGAAATTTGAAATTTTTGGAAAATTTGACCTCAAACTGTTTGTTGCAGGGTATAGCTCACAAGGATGGTACACATGTCGGAGAGATACAGCATATTTTTTTGTTAGTAAGTCGGATACTTCTGGGAGGTAAAGCTTTCTTCGAGTATTACCGGGTAAATGTACCAAAAGAAAAATCTTGAAAGTTTTAAAAAAAACGGGAAGATAATGCAACTTGAAAAAATTACATAACAGACCTGATATTCATACACTTTGTCAATCGTCATAGGTTTCGATATTCGTCAATTCGTCAATTCAGAAATTGCTTGAAACGTTTCGTCATTCGTCAGGTATCATTTGCTACAGTAGTTATAAAAGTAAAAAGTTACATCATTTATTGGTGTTTTATATCAGTCTATTTTTTTTACACTTAGGTTATTTTTAAAGTTTTACTAATTAAATATTTTTTTTGTACGTATTTCATTTTTTATTTATATACAGTTTTATTAATTATATAATTTATATTTAAAAGTTTTTTATTTATCTTTATTT